CAAGAAAGCCAGCCCACTCATTTTAAATATTTTCAAGCCAGCCCACTTATTTTAAATATTCAACTCGCCCACCATCCATTTATCTTATAATATTATTTAACCCGTCAGCCCGCCCATTATTTAAAAATTATTTTAATGGCTATTTTAGAGATATGAAAAATAAACCTAATATTTAAATAAATTCTAGTCTGTTCTGCTCATTTCACCTGAAAAATATTAAAAATTTATCCGCATATTTCTTTAAAAATATTTATAACACGCCCGCCACCCGCCAAATGTTAAAATATTTTATAAAACCCTACCACCCAAAGTTTGGGTGGGGAGGGGACTTAAAATAAAATCCTCTCATTGCAGACCTCTAGTTGTTGCTGATCGTATTCTAAATATTAGCCACGAGCTTATATATTTCAATCTTTACTAAAATGTTATCTTTAAATGATTGATAATAAATATTTATTAATAATTATAAATTTTTCTTATCATTAAATTTATTTTTGATAATATATAAAATATCGTACCCCTACTCCACCCCCTCACCAAGTTTTTACGCAATAAACCAATGATCTTTATGTACTAGAGAAAATTACGTACAAAAGTTTAACGAGCCGAATCAGAATTTATAAATAAAATGAATAGAAAGACTCTTGCTAATACTTTAAATTAAAAATTGCATAATTTGTTGTTTTTAAGGAAAATTTGCATGTTTTACTTTGCTTAATTCATTCCTTGAACGAATCCCTTCTGCCTTTCAACTGATTACTTATTAAACAAGGCGTATCATTTATGGTAATCAGGTTTTCATACAATTCCTATCTATCTTGTTCTAAATTTATTTTGTTCCGGCTGAAGGAAACAAGTTAAATTTGTGTTTTAAATTCTTTTTATTTCTACTTTTAAAAATCAAATAATAATAATCATAATAACAATCAACTGGTATATATAATAAAACATTTCAATAGATATTCAAATTAATACAATTAACATTAAAATAAATTATTTCAACTGATTACAAATTTAAATTAACATGACAATAAATTATTTCAACTGATCACAAATATAAATTAACATGACAATAAATTATGTTAATTGAACACAATTAACATTTCCCTCTTCAACAAAGTATCAAGTTACTGCTCGGTGAGCGCATAAGTCTATGTTTGAGTCGCGTGAGTCCATACGTTTTAGTAGGTTGGATAAAATTGTTACGTTCATTATCATAAGGAATAATTGAGCAAATTTGAATATATGGAATACGGAATAAAATTTTAAATTTGGAAAAAAGAATTTGGAATAAAAATTTTGGAATATGGAATGATAAATATGTAGAATTCCGTAAGAATGATAAATCAAAAAAGATTATTATATAATATTTCGCGTTTTTTCAAATTTTGCGTTTTATATATTTTATTTTAATAATTTAAGTTACGTTTTAATATTTTATTTTAATAATTTAAGTTCAATAGATTAGGTAGACATCTCAATAGATTAAGCATTGGTCATATAATAGATTAGGTAGTCATCTCAATAGGTAGTCATCTCAATAGGTAGTCATCTCAATAGATTAGGTAGTCATCTCAATAGATTAGGCATTGATTATGTCAATAGATTAGGTAGTCATCTCAATAGATTAAGCATTGGTCAATAGATTAGGTAGTCATCTCAATAGATTAGGCAGTCATATCAATGTCATATCAATGTCATATCAATGTCATATCAATGTCATATCAATGTCATATCAATGTCATATCAATAGATTAGGTAGTCATCTCAATAGATTAGGTATTCATATCAATAGATTAGGTAGTCATCTCAATAGTAGTCATCTCAATAGGTAGTCATCTCAATAGGTAGTCATCTCAATAGGTAGTCATCTCAATAGGTAGTCATCTCAATAGGTAGTCATCTCAATAGGTAGTCATCTCAATAGGTAGTCATCTCAATAGATTAGGTAGTCATCTCAATAGATTAGGCATTGATCATGTCAATAGATTAGGTAGTCATCTCAATAGGTAGTCATCTCAATAGGTAGTCATCTCAATAGGTAGTCATCTCAATAGATTAGGTAGTCATCTCAATAGATTAGGTAGTCATCTCAATAGATTAGGTAGTCATCTCAATAGATTAGGCATTGATCATATTAAGCATTGGTCATATAATAGATTAGGTAGTCATCTCAATAGATTAGGCAGTCATATAAATAGATTAGGTAGTCATCTCATATTAGTCCACCACCCAGAGCCAGGGCACGATAAGTTACCTAATAAGGTCCTAGCCTTAGATGCGTCAGACGCAATGTAATCCTCAAAGTATGTCTCAACCATATCAAGGTATGTGTCCGTCATCTCTCCAATAAGTTTTGGAAATCTGAGATACGGATCGCATATAGCAGTAAGTTTATTGTCCATAATTAGCATTAAGTTTATTGTCCATAATTAGCATTAAGTTTATTGTCCATAATTAGTATTAAGTTTATTGTCCATAATAAAAATTTTACTTTAAGAAAATACTATATGTTTTAAGTTATGAATTTCATATCGAACAAAAAAAATTATGTTCATCATCAAACGGAATTAAATAATTATATGTCTTTAAATTTTATATCGTCAAAGCAAATCAAAAAAAAATCCTATGCTTTAATTTTGAGTCGTCAAAGGAAATTAGATAATTCAATCTCATTGAATTTAAATCGTCAAAGGAAATTGGATAATTCTTTAAATTTAAGTTAAAGAAAAACTAGATTATTCTAAATCTCTAATTTTGAGTTATAAATGAAAATCAGATAATATTATGTCTTTATAATTAAATTATCAAAATAGATAAGAAAATACTATAACATGAAAAAATGTGTAATTCGTATTCAATTTATATACTATAATTTGTAGCATAATAAGCGTATCAAAATATAAATTGGCGTAAAATGGTAAGTTTTAACATTTTGTGATCACGCAATCTATGAACATAAAGTTCTTATCTTGAATAATATGCGGTCTCCCATTCATTAACATATAATTGCGTAGCATCACAACCACACATATCACGAGCATATGTGCGATGAAAATAGTGTCCGGCAAATTAATCGCCTTAAATTCAAAATTTAAAAAAAAAATTTTTTTTTAACCTTTTGTATATGTATATATATCAGAATAATATTTGACTATTTTTTTTTTTTAAAAAAAAGACAAGTCATATCCTTCGAATTTAATTTTCTTTTTACTTTTTTTAAATTTAAATTTTATATATTTTGTTATTTTTTTTTTACAAAAACGCGCTGGGGCACCATGAAGGATAGTAAACAAGTTATATTTTGTGTTTTAAATTCTTTTTATTTTACTTTTAAAAATCAAATAATAATAATCATAATATGTATAACAATCAACTGGTATATATAATAAAACATTTCAATAGATATTCAAATTAATACTCAATCAACATTAAAATAAATTATTTCAACTGATCACAAATTTAAATTAACATGACAATAAATTATGTTAATTGAACACAATTAACACCGGCAATTAGGGATTCGTTGCTTAAATCGAACTCATTCAACCAATTCCTCGATTACCATGCTATAAATTCTTCAATAACGTTCTCTTTTGTTAAACTCGATCTGTTAAATGACTAGTTACATTTTACAATTGACTTGAAAATTAACTGTGAAATTTTTCCTTATCTTTTGCAAGAATGGTAAAATAAACGTTGGGATTAAACCTCATTCTAGTTAAATTCTTTAACACTTGAAATGTTAAGCTAAGAACTTGTCTACATACTGCTATATGCAACAGCAACAATTTGCAATGAAAATTTTTGTTAATACAGATTCACATATTATTTTAAAGCTCTGTTATAAAAATGGTTAATAAATTTTACTGCTCTATTATTAAAAATGTCATTTTCATTTGTTTAATTGTTGCCCTAATAGTGTTTTTTGAAGCAGATATTTTACCAAAACAATTTTAGAGCATTAGCAATTAAAATTTGATTTTAATAATTCTATTTAAAAATGTATAAATGTTAAACCATGAAATAAAAACTATCAATTAATAGATTATGTAGTTTGTTAAATATTTAAAAAATATGGTAAGATGATGATATTGTATTTAGGATTGTTATGCTCTCTACTTTTTATGATTCCCCAGAATACTCCCAAATAAATATACAAACATTTGAGAAATGGGTATAATTTTTTTAAATGTAAAATTCCCACACTTGGAAAAAATATATGAGCATGTATTCCTATACCTATTTCAAAACGTTATTAACTTTATTAATATCTATATAAAATAATTATAAGAATTAATGGAGAGGACAACTACTCTATTTCACAAAACACGGCCGAAGTCAGGCAAAAAATTTTTCGCCCGTAAATTTTATATTTCTCAAGCAAAATAAAATTTTTTATAAAATTCCTCCCACAATTTGAAAGTTTTAACCTGGCAACCCTGAACCTGAATAATTACAAATCCCCTCATTTATAATAAATTATTATAGTATATTATTTTTGTTGATGGTATCTCAAATCCTTTTAAATTAAATTTTAAAAGATAGAAGAAAATTTGAATGAGTTTTATTTGAAAAATAATGATGTGATATGTAATATATAAATTTGGTCGATATTTCGCGATTAAAGTTAAGATGATCTCCTTTGCTTAAAATTTGGTTTGGGTTTTTTTAGAGTAGGCTCAAAATTTGCTAAATATTGAACCATTTATCTCTACTACTTGATTGTGGTGAACCTCACTTTATATTTTTAAAAGAAAAAGCGGCGGCAATTTTTAAAAAATCTATGGGGAATATTTTCAAAGAAATTTTGATTTTAAAATATTAATGAGTTAATAATATCTATTTTATAAAATAATTAAATAAGTCGAGAGTAGTGTTGTTAAATGACTCTTTTGGAGCCGATTTTTAAATACGGATGAATCAATATTTTATTAGAAAAATTATACAGAAATTTTTAATCCCCCCCCCCCCCCGCTAGGAAAATCCTGGCTACGACAATGATTACATTCGTTAAAGTTTTTCTAATTAGATTCATATCTGTTTTGAAACTAATCCCTATGTGCACAAGTATATATCAACATATATAAAAAATAACAATATTTTACTTACACCATCCTAAAAACTCTTAGTAACAATGATACCTTTTTATTATATATTTATTTTAGCAGACGATATTTAATATTCATAACTAAATTCACCAATCCTATTTTCAACCACAATTTTTAAAAATGGTATAAATTTAATTTAATGTTTGCTATTGATGCTTAAATATTTTTTAGTCAAGAAAAAAGGGAATGACTCAAGATGAAAAAAGAGGCAAATTACTAGAAATTTTTTATGAAAAAGTATATTTATGATTAACATATTAAAAGACATTGCTAAATATTTTAAGATACTACAAAAATATTTTTCACTATTAATATTTTTTAAGAAAGATTGTTTTCAATTAAAAGAAATCGAAAAATTTGCTTCAAAAGAAAAAAAGATAAATTCTCAGATAGTCAAAGAAATAGTGCAATCCTTAGTTGATGATGATTTAGTTAATTCTGAAAAAATTGGGTCCTCTATATACTATTGGGCATTTCCTAGTAAAGCAGGACAAATTGTAAATTTTTTGCATATTACTAAATAAATATTTTATACATTATTACTATAATATATCATAATTATTGAATGTACTAATAATGATTAACCTAAATGCTAACCATCTATTTTATTAATCCTTTGCAGAATGTTTTTTTAACTTACCCTTAGAAGATTTCTGTTAGGGAGCTTGATTTTTTAAATAATCTTAATGTTTAATGAATTTGTTGGTTAAAAAAGAATTTAAGATATATTTATATAATTTTTACTTTTTTTTCAAATATAGTTTTAAGATAACCAGGGTAATCAAAAATATTTAAATAATAGAATATAAGCTAATAATTTTTAAATAATTGCAAATCATCATCCAAAATAAAAATAAAAATAATATTATAGTTTAATTGTGTTAGTTACAATTGAAAACTTAGCCCAAAAGTTATACACTTAAAAAAAAAATATACTACTATTATAATTAAATATCTATGCTCAAAAAGGTTTTAACTCACCAATCCTACACTTTCCTTACTATTCCATTATATACATTAATTTAACTAAGAAATAAAAACGTCTCTGAAGTTTTGAAGAAAAAAAGTTTATGTAAACTGTAATAGAAGCTGTATAGTCTTATAGCAGTAAAACAGAGACAATGAAGTGACATATAAAGCTATATTGGAGAAAATATAGATGATAATGGTTAGATGGATATGTGGGGTATTTGTGAGAAAGGGGAAAACAAGCAAGGAATTGTGAGAAAGGATTGAAATAGAAGCAATTGAGGGGGGGGGTTTGAATATATCTAGCAGAAGTTGAAAGATTATTGGATAGAGATGCACATTGATGGAAGTAAGGGTATTGATTTGTCAATAAAGATCCAAAACAGCCTTATAAAAGTGATAATGGACAATATGATGCAAAAAGTTATGCTCAGGATTGTGAAGAGAGAAATCAGAAAGTGGCTTATCTAGGTAAATTAAAAATAAGTTTAAATTGCTCAGGCATCGCTCACTTGCCTTATACTTTTATGGGAGTAGACAAATTTTATGAGTGTTTTTTTATTGATTACTTCCTGAAAAACGTTCAATAATTTAAATAAGAACGCGTTTGGGAGGGGGTCAGGAGTATATTATTCAATTTTGGTAGATAATGTATATTATTACCACTATTTGCGTTAATCGACCATTTATCTCTTTTAAAACGAAATATAGAGAAAAGTCAAAATCGTTCAACTACAAAACGACTTATTAGAATGCTCAAATAAAAAGAATCAGCTTGTTGAAATGATCGAAAATTGTAAAAAGGGCAAGGAGGAATCGGTAAACATAAATTAGATAAATATAATTTTTTTTATATTAATTCTCTTATTCCATGTCTCAATAATAAATTAAACGATTTTATAAAATAATATCGATAATGTTTATTAATTTTAAAATTTAATATAAAATTTGGCTTTTCAATTTTTATGATTACATTTATAATACAGATTAGTTTAAAAAAAATATTTTGAGTACTGCAGAAAATCAACAAAAAGAACTATTTTCGGCTTGGTCTCAAATTAATTTTTTTTTTTCAATTCTGTATAACTTTAAAAAAATATATAATGTTAGCTCACAACTTCACTTAGATGTATTTATGAAAAATGGAATTCTTATTTCTTCCATTTATATTCTTACTTATAATCATATTGATGATATTCATATCTGGTGAGTTTCATCGTCTTAAAGTGGTACTAGCTCAAAATTGTTTATCTTTGTTTTGCAGAAAAGTCATTTTTTGAAAATATTTATATTTTTTTTTCTTAAATTGTATTATTAAAGACACAAAATACATAAATTTATACATTATGATCAAATTTTTATTGAGTAATTCGAGGTTCTTATAACCAACGCACCTGTATTGAAAAAATTATCTTCAATATCAATCTCTTATTGTCGAAATTTTAAATTATTTTGAAAACTAGAATTATAATGCATATTTTTAAATATAAATTTTAAGATTAAATTAAATCAAAAGATTATGATTTTAGAATTAATTAGAAAATATTTTAAATTTTTTTATATATAGTTAAGTTATTACATAAAATTGAAAGTAGCGTTCTAAATTAGTGAGCTACCACTATCCATTTTAAAAAAATTTAGCGCGCGAAAGCTACAGCTACTGAAAAAGTAGTGCGTTATTTAAACAACACGGAGAAATAGCTTGCGCAGCAACCATGCTACAGACTAATTTATTAGTTTTTTGTAATTGCAAATGACATACTTTTAATCTGTTATTCAATTAAAAGGAAATGCAAAATATTGAAATATTTATAACCTAAACAATTTAAAATATCACTTTCCTATTTTGAGGCTTTTTTTTGATATGGGTCATCAAAATGTCCTAAAGACGAGTTCGGGTTCTATCCTGAACTCTAATTTAAACAAACCTTTTTATAAAAAGCAATAATAAAGATAAGTTAATATATGTGAATTATTAGGTAATGGCTTAAAATCGATAATTTATCTGCTAAGCATAACTAGAATTTTTTTCTGCTTTTAGAAATGATTTACAATGCTGTAAAATTTACGGTTTAAGCATAAGCCATTAAATAGCTAGGTTATATTTAAATGTTGTAGATAATGATAATGGCACATGGAAGCCCCAACTTTTTTTATCATGCCTTGACCTAAGATTTATATATTAATAATGAAAAATACAAATGAAAATCCGCAGCTTCCCCTCGTTGTTCATAATTAAATTTATTATTAATATTATAATTGTATAAAAAATAATGATTTTAGAGCTATCTTCTGATTTCCAGCTTTCCGTCGTTGTTCATAATTTAATTATTCATTAATATTAAAATTGTATATAATAAAAAAGCTTTTAAGCTCTTTGAATATCATGGAATAAATATTTTAATGCTTAGGAATTTAAGATCTTGCATTGTTCTTTGAACACCTATATCTCATCCCCTGGTGTAGCTTAGAGCTAAAATTTTACATCTTTTGTTGAAACAGATACTATCAATCAGAGGTGATAAATATTTAAATGCATGTGTATAAATGGAGTTTTAATTGTAAAGAAAAAAGACTTTAAATAAATTTAATATAAAATATAGAATCAAATATTTTTATTGATATGCATGACTTAATCAAAAATGATTTATAAAATAAAAATCAGGATTTAGATCAATTTTTTTGTTTGAATATTTAAATATTTATTTCTTAACATTTTTCTTAAAATAAGACAAATAACACACAATATGAGGTTTATCAATATTATTTATAAGTTTACATATTGTTGCATAAAATTATAAAAAATTAAAGACATAGCAATTAATTAAGATCAAATTTTGGTCTCATCAATATGACCACCTTTATTCTTAATAATTGCTGCAAAAATTTTTGATAATCTTTCGATGAGATTTTTTAAATATTCGGAAGTGATATTGTTCCATTTCTCTACAATATTTCCCAAAGGTGCGTATGAGAGGTTGGGCTTTTTCGCGCTTGTCGATCAAGGTGATCCCATAAAAATTCGATTGTATTGAGATCGGGAGACTGGGATGGCCAAATCATCAACTCGAGAATACCGTGTTGTAGATTTTGTAAATAATCTTTGCATAGCCTGAATGTATGCTTTGGGTCATTATCTTGTTGAAATAAAAAGTTATTTCCGATCAAACACTTTCCTGATGAAATCACATGGTCCTCAAGGATTTGCCGGTATCCCTCCTTGTTTAGAATTCCTTTAATTTTGACAATGTCGGCGGTTGCGCCGGCACCAAAGCCCCCCCACACCATAACAGACCCTCTCCCGAATTTGACTGTATGAATTATGCAGTGATCATTCATTTACTCTCCAGCTGAGCGGCGAATATATTGCCTTCTTTTAGAACCAAAGATTTTGGATTTTGACTCATCACTCCATAAGACGTGGTACCAGTTGGCAGATGTCCAAAATTGATGTTTTCGTGCCCAATCTAATCGCTTGAGTTTATTTTTTATGCTCAAGAGTGGCTTTTTGACCGCTACCTTACCATAAAGTTCAAAGCTCCTAAAGCGCTTTTTCACAGTTGTGACACTCAGGCTTTCCCCAGTAAGATTAATCTCCGCAACTATCTCTGAGGCGACAAAACGTCTATTGCGTTTACCAGAGTTGTTAATCGCTACTTTTAAAAGTAGCGCGCTACCGCTATTGCTAATTGTTAAAAAAAAGTAGCTCGCTATTAGCTACTATTTTTTAAAAGTAGCTTTAGCTACTTTTAGGCTACTTTTTATAAAAACAATTTTTTATTTATTTTGCATATAATGTAATTATAGTAAATAATATATAAAAATCAACATTTATAAATATTAAAATATAGTTAATTTTGATTATAAAAAAATTTATGTAATAAATTTTAAATATTTATGGTAATTTGTTGAATTTTAATAATAAAATCATTTCAATATTATCATCCCCAAGTCTAGAGCGACGATCAGAAAGTATCAGCTTTGCCTTACTAAATAATCTCTCTGTGTCTCACCTTCAGCATTATCCTCACCAAATATTCTATATTCATATTAAATAGTGTCACAATGAGGCGATTGTCATTGTGAATCAAAACCTAAATATAAAAAGAAATATATATATAAAAAAGAAATTAATAATAATTAGGAATGTTGAAAGTAAGGCTTTTGAGACCTAAAAATAAAAAAAGAAAACAAATATATATATATAAAAAGAAATTAACAATAATTAGGAATCACGAAATCAATTTATCTCTTTATTCAAAATTATAACATTATCAAATTAACAAATTTATAAAAGTAAAAATAATAAAAAAGATTAATAAAAAATAAAATTAAAAAATAAAATACAAAAAGTTAATAATTATAAAAGATCATTTTGTATGGTAAAAATTGACCTTTTTATACTCTTTTCAATCTTCTTATAACTAATATTCATAACTATTCAAATATAATATTTTTATCACGCGTTATAATAATAAATCCAAGAGAATTTTTTATGCAAATTAAATATAAAGTACAACAAAATCCACAAGAATTCTTTATGCAAATTAAATTAACATTTACAACACCTCCCTACTTAAATTAGACCCAACATTCTGCGAATAATCAATCTTCTTTCGATCTCGACTTATTCTTCTTAATCTTTGCTGTCTTGTAAGTTCTAACGAAGGCTGACTCTTGTCTAGTATTCTTAGTTTCGAACGACCGTTTGTATCCGATTGTCGCTTGAAATTTTTGGATTCTATCTTCTGTCGCTTGTCACCCTGTGAAACGATCCGCTTTTTATCTCTGTAGGCCACTGACGAACTTGATACACGCCTGTTTTCCACTATCCACGATTGATGAACGATTATCGATGACATCCAGTTTCTTTTCCTCTCTTGTTTTTTGCTAGTCGATCTTAATCGTTTTTACAATTTATCGTAGCTTGTTTCCTATCATTCTCTTGTAATCGATTGGTTGTTGCCTCTAATTCTTGTAATCGTATCTATCTTTTAGACTTCCGGGTCTTCTACGACAGTTTGCCCTTGCTGAGATATCGGGTAATCACATCTAATCTACTTCTACCTAAAATAATCTATTTAAATAACTAATCTAATTCTGCCTTTAATAAATGGCATAAATTATACTAAATCTTACATTTATAATACGTAACAAAAATATATATAATAAATTATAAAAATATATCAAATTCTATCACCCCTTTCCCCTTAATGAAGCCTAGACCCATATTTTCATTGAAAAATATACTTGTACTCATCCTTTAGCTATTGATCCTCATCTTCTTTTCAGCCATGTTTATACTAAATTTATATCTAAAAATCCTATTCTACAATATATATCAAAATCTTTCTTTTACTCAAGTCTTTAAAAAAAAACTGCTGAAATATATAAATCTCTTTTCATACATACGTTGTCGAGAAATCAATGACATTTAATCATAAAAGTTTTCATACTCACGTTTATGAACAACCTATTAACTCTAATCACTATGGTTTTCACCCCACGTCTTTGAAGAACTTATGAAATCTAAACATTATAAATTTTCGCACCACCGTTGTTGAAAACTGATATGTATATTTCTAAAGATGTTTTTCTTTCCGTTGCATAATTGATCTCGAATCTTATTTATGATTCAAAAAAATAAAAATCCGATCTCTAATTGAGCTCGATTGCGGCATAAATTTTCTAATGACGAAAGCCGTTTCTCTTTATGAAGATTTTTGGTTAATCTAAAACCTAATATACTACATTCACATTAATCCTTGAGGCTGTTTTATCTCTCGCAGCCCTTAAAATAAAAGTTAAATTCAATAAGA